TTCTACATCGATGTTGGCATGCCATTTTCGCGATGTCCATAGCCGATCCAGTAAGCCCCTCCCACTGCGCACGTGGGCAAATTAACACATGCTCCTCTCCAATGCCACGCTGCATTTTCCTATGCTGCACACATGTACATGTAACACCAACGCGCGGGGAAACTTGCCAGGATCGCATCGGGGAAAACAGTGGCGGTTTTCTTTTGAAAGTAGGGATTGTAAGTAGGACAACAACAAACAAAAATACGGACAACGGAAACGTTACTACTTATGCTAGAAGTTTGATATGAAAAGGTGTCAGGAAGTGTTTTGTGAAGACATGAAAGACAAAATGTCTTGTTATTATCTTGTCGGAAGCATCAGCGATTGGTGTTGCAGTCCGGCGTTAAAAAAATGGGTTGGCTTTACTGCAAGCACTCCCAAAGCAGAAGTAATATATGTATGACATTATTGCTTGGCATATATACAAGCTACTTTTTTATAGTTTTTTTTGGCAGCAACTTGAAACTTAACTTTGAGAATACACTTTTGTTGTTAAAAAAAAGTTTTTTCCACCTTTATATTTTATTGCATATCACCACCGAATATTCTTATTCGAAAATGAATATTCGAATATTCGATTATCGATCGAATAACCGAATATTCGAAAATTCGGCACAGCCCTACTGTCCATGTATATACACGAGCCTGGGAGTGCCACGGCGGATGTTTGGCTCCCTGTACTGCATGCATTCTAAGAGCAGAAACATAATACCGTCCTTGCTCATGCAGCAGCTGACAGAACGAGCTGCTCGGTGCAAACCATTGATCTCCATATACACAGACCCACTCTTGCAAACAACAATTTAGCGCTAGCAGGGGAGCTGGTTACGTACCTAAACGTAAGTTGGTGCATTTTCATGGTCGTTTCTGTAAATTTTGTTATCAACCGACAACCTATTTTTTTGGTATTTCTTCTATTATAAGGTTTTTAATTTAATGATTTCCGATTTGTCTTCTGCCCAAAAAGAGCGTATCGGGATGCAAAAAATGTGATCGGCAATTTCGGCAGCGTATCGGGCGAAAATACTGCGTATCAGCTTGATACGCAAGCTTGTACGTGGGGAGAACCCTGCGTGGTGCATGTGTTTCGTACGTCATTTAGGGGATTTTATGCCAGTTTATTTTTTCTACTCTAGAAAAAAAAAGTAGTTTCCATTCGAATATTAGGCTTGTTTCGGTATTGCATTTATGATACCACGGTATCCAGTGACAAAAAAAACCGCGATATTCACTAAAACCGCAGTATTATGTATCAGGGAAAAAAACAACTAACCACCAGGCACCACGTGCCGAGTTGATAAGCCGCTGGCGCGGCATATCGCTGTAACACTAAGAGATTATTAAAAATGAAAAGCTTACTTTTTGTGGTATTGTATTGTTCAAATTTGTAAGTCATTGACATGACAAGATCCACTAAAAATAATGCAGATCGTCGACCGATGCCTGAGGCCTAGGCTAGGCCGACCACGCGACGATCCCCCTATCCTAGCGACCGTATGCTTTTCAGTTGGTATCCATTGTGAGCGATTCAATATTAAAAGCTCATGCAATTTATGCCGGCCACTAGGGCTGTGCCGAATATTCGAATATTCGGTTATTCGATCGATAATCGAATATTCGAATATTCATTTTCGAATAAGAATATTCGGTGGTGATATGCAATGAAATATAAAGGTGGAAAAAACTTTTTTTTAACAACAAAAGTGTATTCTCAAAGTTAAGTTTCAAGTTGCTGCCTAAAAAACCCATAAAAAAGTAGCTTGTATATATGCCAAGCAATAATGTCATACATATATTACTTCTGCTTTGGGAGTGCTTGCAGTAAAGCCAACCAATTTTTTTAACGCCGGACTGCAACACCAATCGCTGATGCTTCCGACAAGATAAACAAGACATTTTGTCTTTCATGTCTTCACAAAACTTCCTGACACCTTTTCATATCAAACTTCTAGCATGAGTAGTAACGTTTCCGTTGTCCGTATTTTTGTTTGTTGTTGTCCTACTTACAATCCCTACTTTCAAAAGAAAACCGCCGCTGTTTTCCCCGATGCGATCCTGGCAAGTTTCCCCGCGCGTTGGTGTTACATGTACATGTGTGCAGCATAGGAAAATGCAGCGTGGCATTGGAGAGGAGCATGTGTTAATTTGCCCACGTGCGCAGTGGGAGGGGCTTACTGGATCGGCTATTGACATCGCGAAAATGGCATGCTAACATCGATGTAGAAGACCTCTGCAATGTCGTGCAAAGAACTTGATTTCTTTTTTCTGTGTGGGCCTTTGTATTTTCCGTTTTCATGTACTTATTTTGAGGACGTACTGCTCGCACAGGGTCGCACAAGAAGCGGTACATTACACTGATACAGCGAAGCCAATTCCCCCCAAAGTTTTCCATCGCCTGTTCAATCGTGTCGAATGCACGTGGTTATAGGGAATCGCCTTGCACGCAGTATGCTGCCCACAGCACGTGGCGGTGTTGTAGAAAACTTGACATGAACCCCAACATTACATTAAAACGTTTTGAAAACCTTGGTTCATTTACGTTACGGACTCTGGGATTTTTCTAAAAGAATTTCCTGTTTACTTTTAGGGGTAAATTTATTATGGCTGTTAGATGTTCGCCTCAATGCCTCCGTAATTATATACATGTACATGTACAAAATAATCTAGTTCTCTCAACTGATCAGAGCACCCTTTTATCGAACACATTTTCGTTCGCTGTCCGTCAGCTTTGTTCGCTGGGTTAGTCTGCTAATTGCACCCAATATTTGCACAAATAAAACATACATAAACACTTCAAAAACTAGTTCAGCAATTATACTTTCAGTAATAATAGCGGGAACCTCTGGCTTATGTCCTCCAAGTCGAGCAAAACGCAAGAAAAAAGGGCAGACAACAGAGAGGATTTCAAACTCAAAAGAGCTCTCATTTATTTCGCCAGACAGACTTTGCGGTCAACTCACCGCACCGTACCCCTGATTCCCAGCATAGAAAACCACAGCTAGACAAAATGTATCAAAATGTTGCAAGTTGGAATATCCAAACCTTTTAGTGGCCTATTTGTTAGAAAGTTATCTCCAGAGCACGCACTTAGCCAGACAAAAGAACCGGGTCAGCGCACCTGTGCCCTAATTAGCCCTCCAACAATGCGCCCGCCGGAGCTCGGCTGGCGATTTTTTTTTTTTTTTCCTGAAATGTCACCCTTCGTGTTTTGGGTACACAGCTTATAATACATCCCCTGTGGGCAAACAAGGAAATACTGCTTTGCACGTGTCAAGCTGGGGCGTGTGTATGCCGCGCCCACGCCCATTATTTGCATAAACTTAAATATGCATTTACAATTCAAAGACCCATATTTCATTGAATAAAGACATTAAATATCATAGGTTTTTTTCTTGGAGTTTTTGGTTGTTGAGAATAAGTTTATTTAAAATGATATAAAATCATTTCCTCAATTCTTGGTGACAAAAGTGCGACTTATTATTATAAAAGTGATCTTTTTATCCTCAATACTGTGACTAGGAAGTACACCGTTTTGTAGACTTCAAGAAGCTTCCAGTAATAGATATGCTCGGTTCCTGTTTGCGAGTTAAGGGTCGGAGAGTCACAATAGCTGACGCCACCCGCCGTGTTTGGGGTTCACGGTTTAATACGTCCCCCATGCAAACAAGGAATCCTTCACTCTAGCTTCTCTGGTTATTGTTAATCTTTAAATTACTGATATTGAAGAACAACTGATTGTTGTCAAATACCTGACTTACCTGTGAAGAAATCATGCATGGCATGCTGACGTGCGCAAGTACGTTGACTACATGTACATGTATGGCATATTTTTGCTTTTGAGGGAATTTGGAATGGCCAAATAACCGAATATTCGAATATTCGATCGATTGGAAGGTCGAATATTCGAATATTCAATTATTCGAATTGACTCAGCCCTAGTTATGTCGCATCATATTCTAACCAGGTATTCTTCATTAAGAAGAAAGGGTAAGCTATTGTGTGTACTATGTATTCCCTTAACCCCTCCCGCCTCTCTCAAAAAAGAAAGAGATCTACCGACCAATCCTGATATTTTTCATGTGAGGGCAACAAAACAGTTGTTGTTATTGGCCTTACATGTACATGTATATTCACTTACTTAAAATAAGTATTTTTATATATTTAACAATTGTTGAATGCTGTGATGTGGAATATGCCATTTTTAACACCTGGGGGCGCATAGCACCTATGCGTCTCGAGGGGGTTAACAGCAGTCAACAATTCGTGCCAATAAGTCAAAAACGATAAACGATTTTAACTTACTATGCAAGTAATACATCCATGTGGTTTAGCCCTTGATAACTGCAGCCTTTCCTGCCGGACATGAGTCTAAGTGGTTGCATATTGCATGCAGTTCTCAGTCGAAATGAACTGAATGTTTTTAACCCTGTACATTTTCAATGGACCGCTTTCGCTATTTGCCACCAGGCCCATTTACATGTAAGCGCATGCATGCATTATTATGATTCATTAGTAAAAAGGTCCGTTCTCGACCAATGAAATTACTGTATCCAAGCACACGACTTACAAGTAACAAATTGTTTGTGACCTTATCGTGAGATGTATTGTGTTGTATTCCAAAAAAGTAGCAGTGTCACATCCATAGTCAACAGGACAAGTATAACAAGCTGTAACAAGCAACAAAGCTGACAGATGTGATCCAAACAGCATCATTGACCCGATAATTGACAATATACAGTCGAGTCTCGTTAATACAAACTCGTTCGGACCTAGCCAAATTGTTTGTTATATCAGAATTTTGTATTAAGAGGAACATCAGTCCCATTCATTGTGCACATAAATACACAGTCGGGACTAAGGCTTTAAGTTTGTTATAACCAGAATTTTGTATTAACAGAGTTTGTACTAACGAGATTCGATTGTAGTATTTTTGTTGTCTTGTGAATATTTTGCTCTAGAACGCTGTCCTTTCTGGGCGCTTGGTCTCAGTAACGTTATGATCAACAACCAGGAGCTTGAACCAGATGCAGAGGGGAAAGTATACATTCCTCATGAGACAGCTGTCTACTTCAGCTGCAAAAGAGGATTTGAATTAGTAAATAACAATGGAAACACTCCTCGATGTTTGATGGGAGAGCTTCTTGATTACACACATGTTCCAGCCTGTTATGCAGGTAAATTCACTTGTTACAAAACATTTTTTTAAATTGTTGTGTAATCATTTTTTTAACACTTTATGATTCTCTTTTAGGTCCGGCGGCTAATTCTCACCCGGTTTTACTGTTCACGCAATGTTTCTCAGTGGTTTTCTAGGTTTTTCAGACCTGCTGATTCCGAATCTGGATGATGCCACCTCGGGATCCTTTGGGGAAATTGAGATATTCAAGATGGCTGCAATTACATACATGTATATATCATATATATATATTGTAATTTTAAACAGGGCCATACAACAGCTTTCATGTAGTCTTGTGCCTTAATATGCGTTTTAGCGATCAGTTAATACACTTTTACCTTTCCTTTTTTTTCATTTCTTTCGAAATTTTTTTAATACAGTGGAACGTCACTATACCGAACACCACTATACTGAACATTCGGCTATACTGAACGTCATGCTTTGCTCCCGAATTTTGTGTACGAAACGTACCAAACATTGTTGGTTGAAAAATATCAACAGAAGAGTGACAAGTGGCTATTATTTCCACAAGGAAAAAAAGGGAAAAGCTTCCCATTGCTGTAGGTACATGTAGTTAGCTCAAAACTGTGTAATAACATGATTAATTATTCGGCACATGTTCAAAGTCATCTTTCAGTAACTACTAGGGCATGCAAGGTGAAGTTCTGAAGTGCCCTATTTATTAAAAAGTGAGTTGACCGGAGTACCAGCAGCTTAAAATCGCTAGTACAAACAATTTCTGTGGATCCCACGATGTTCTTTATAGCGTCGTTCCACTGAACATGGATTTTTGTGTGTACAGTAGGAGCAGCCATTAAATCTAGAAGTTTCATATGTCTATAACATGCTTTACCAGGTATTGGCTTTAAGGCAAAACCCAAGTTTCATAATTTATATTCGTAGTATTACTGGTCTAAGGAAAAATATACATATTGAACATGAAGAAGGTAGACAAAACACAATAATGTTCATAATGTTCAATTTTGTTCATCATGTTCATTACAAACTCTTCACACAAATGTTCCTGCAATGAAAAGGAAATATACAAAATCATTTCTTGTCATGCAGCAGCTCAATTATCTGCGTTGTCAATATCCTGGTCAGCCTCCTCGTCAGTGTATTCAGCTTCATCTTGTGTTTGTCGGTTATGACCGTTGTCTACCTTGTGACACCTGCAGAAGATGATACAAGCTAGCCAAGCCCTAAGACACCCACACTTTGCTGTTAAACACAGCTGGCTAATAGCGCATCCGCATCCGCATTACCAACCTGTGATTGCACGTGTTACTAGACTGCTTTGCTTTCTCCAGACGTTGCTGACAGATGATTTTGATTACTTAACCTTGTTCTGTGAGACATTGAGTGTAATACTCTGAGGAGGTACAGGTGTGTTTAGTTAATGAAGCTCGCTTCCCTGCTCTCCTGCACGGCACTCTTGATGCTGTACTCCAAGATCAAAGAAATGATACACCTCACTTTGCTCTAGCTTAACTAAAAATGTAGCTCACGAATTTGTCAACGTAGTCTTGCACTGTACTGTGAGATGGCCAGTGGATTATCCATCAAATGGCACATCCAACGATTTGGAAAACACCGGGTTGCTGCAAGGTACGCGCAGATTGTTCAAACTTTAGTTTCCTTTTTTCAGTGTCGATTTCGATGTTGTGATGTCATTGTTATCATCAACCGTTGACGTGGGTATTGGTTGAAAATGTTCTCCAGATCTATTTCCCATGATGCCATCAAACCCATGACTCTAGAGTAGATGATTTCAGTATTGAAGCTTGCTCCAGATGCAAGTCTGACATGTTTCTTGTTTACTGCCATGGTTGTCAATTTATTGCTTAGAGAAGCATGGAAACCTTTCAGCCAGCGGGCTTCATATGCAGTCATTCGTGCCTTGCAAATCCGGTTTGTTAGTGTGACGTCACCTCCAGCAATTTCCGCACGGTTGGAACCGGAAGTTAACGCAGCTTGAGTGTTTGTAGCCAATGGGCGCTAGTAATCAATGGTGTGCGTGCGTGAATGACGTTTTTACTAACGAACTAGATAGCAGCTGCGTTATCAACATTGACAGATTTTGGGAATATTTTCCCAGTAGTGGTATTGATCAAGCCATCAAGATGTTCATTGGGATTCAGGGAATCAATGCAAGTCTTCAGCTGTGTCTGATATTCTCTCTGTCCTTTGATTCCTTCCGAGCTGACATTTTTTCCTTGTGTGTTATGACCTGCCCAGGTTTTATCGCATCAGTCATCATGTCAGCTGGTCATCATGTGACTGGAGATGTGAACAGGCTCAAAGCCAACCTCTTCAGAGCAGATGGTTTGAGGGTAATTCCTACAAGACCTCCTGGCCAATGACCATAATGCATTCCTATGAACATGTCTCACCACGTTCCATTCCACAAACCCTGTTTGTGACGCATCATATGTTCACCTCTCAAGAAGCTTGCCAGGACCTCCTGAGGTAGACTCTCTATAGATCTGAGGAAATACAGACCATATCTGGTGTAGTTAATGTGATGTGCTGCGAAGAAATATGGCATCATTTGACTAACAGTCCAGACATGCAGCGGCCGGTCTGCCTGTCGCTAAGCTCCCACAAACAGCATCATGATGAGAATCGGCTTGATAAGATTGTCAACCCAGAGTTTTGCTGTTCTACTACAAGCAGCTATATTGCCCAGAACCACCATCAGATCTTGGTGGTCCTCCATCCTAGCTTGAACATCTTGCAGAACATCTTCTGTCACCATTCTCAGCACTCTTGTGTTCTGTTGGAAGTTTTTACCCGTGAGCATGCGAGTATCCCCTCCAATTGCAGCTTTCATACATGTAACTTCCTCTAATCCACTTTCAGCCGTGATCTTGAGCACCACTTACACATCCAACAAAACTCATGTGCATGTGGATGCCTTCAAGTCGTGGAATGAAATTCTGAAACATTTCTGGATATACCCATACAACGTCAACCATGACATGGTACAGCTGCTAGTCTGCTGTAAATATTGTAAAACCCTGACCAGTTTGTCTGGTGAGTTTCTGAGCTTGAACTATCACCGTCATCATTGTGGTGGGGTCAGATGGCATCATATCGATGAGAGGTGTGTACACGACTTTTTTTCTTTGTTGCACACTTTGCCCTTGCTCAAGTAGAATCTTTGTATTGAAACCACCAAATTGTGATGATGCTGATTCAGCAGCAATGGTCTGCAGAATTGCAGATCCAACTTGTTTACATTCCTAAAAGATACAGTTTGCTAGGCCAACACCTTCAGTGGCAAGACATACCGCTTTACTTCACTTTGAAACATCACCCCATTCACCGGCATTTTTGAAACATTGTAGCATTGAACTGTAATATCCTATGAGGCATCGCTTTTCATCTCTTGTTATTGACTCTTATGCTTGTCACAGTTGTCGACACTTGGCTGTTGCTGTGCCAGATCAAGGGTGAGCGCATGTGTTGAATGAAGACCATTTTGGGATGAAGTGTTGGTATAAAAGTTGTCTACCACTGCTTGAACAAGACTGACACTGGAATCAGAGATTCAGCTTAACTCTTTGGTTTGGACAGCCGCTGCTGCAGCAGATGCCTTGAATCTCAATACTTTATTATAGGACATGTAGGAACACAATACTTCAAAGTCATAAAAATGTTCGATCAAGGTTTCTTTCCTTTAAAAGAACACCCAGAGCTATCTGAAGTGATGTTGGCCGCCGGTTGGCAATTACTGATGATGTTGCCAATCATCACTGCTGGCAAGGTGGAATCGAACAGAAACTAGTAGTGACTGTAATGTTGAACTGCATTATTCGCCGGCTTTTGTTGCGTCAATCCTTGTTTTGTACACTTTGTTGTCGGGAGTGAGCTTTTTTGACTCTTGAACGATCTGTTTGGCAACTTTTCTGATTGAGACGTCATCGTAGTCTTCTAATCTCAATAATTCAGACAGTTTGCTCCAAAACAAAATGATTTTGGCAAGTCCAGGTGATGATAATACCAAAAGATCGCTGCCAAAGTACTCTGTCAGTTGATTTAGTATGCTTGATGTGGGAGGATGCCACCATGTGTTCGGTACAAATGATAAATCTCAACTGATATCCATATGTGGGACTTATCGGACTAGGCAAACTTGCTTCTACAGTTGTCATGATAACAGGCATCAGCAGCATGGAGATCGCTTACTGCAGCATGTAATCGCACTTGCACTTGATTTGCCTAATCATCTTTCTGATTATCGCATACATCAATAATCATACACTAGAATGACTTATTTGAATGTCTTCTTGTCTGAACCACATTCTACACAACAAAGATCTACGCTAACGATCGTGATGTCGAGGGTCCGGACTGATTTTACAGTTTTCTCCGCAGAAGATACAGTGCTCCTCTAAACTGAATGGCGCTAGATTAGAGCGATAGGTTCGCTTACTAGGAAGTTGTGGTGATTGCAGTGTAAACTCATCTTTACATTTCAAATATCGACGTATGTGTGAGGATGATGATGACGACACACAATTGCGATGGCATTTATTAACTAAACAACTGTTTTCATCCAACTCTCTTTGAAGATCATCATGTAAGTCATCCGATCAGATTTTACTTTTGGGTCTGTTCCTGTTCTTTGTATTCGATCACAGGGTACCATAAACGTGTGTTGGCTATAAGGCATCTATATTGTCCTCATCTATATTGACTGTCCCATATGACCCAAATGGAACAACAATTGTTTTCTCTATAAATATGATAATCAGTGTAAACCAGATGGAGGATTTTTATACACAATGCTGTTCACAACTCTTTCGGCGACCACCTCAACAGCAATCTTATTTTCTTGGTATAAAAAGTATTTGGTTGTTTACTTTTGCTTTTGCCTCCTTTGATTAGACATTAAAATCACTTGAGTAACGTCATGCAGTATTCCTAATATTCATTTCTTGGCGAATTGAGATCCGCAGCGTTGTTTAGCTACATGTAGTTGAAAGATCACCTTTGACTATGCCAGAAAGATACGTACCGGACTCATTGATTTGTTATTCAGATGTCGAAATTAGATACCAATTATATGCTGTCGGCCATTTTGAAGGCCATTTGGCGACCGAATCGAATGTCAAGAAAGAGAAAGGCCTGGAAAATTCTGTTCATAGAATATATTGGCATGATAAATCTCCTAATTTGTATTTACAGACATCATAAATTGATACCAAACTGTACACAAAAGTTTCAATATGGTAAATTTTAGGCATCCGCCATCTTGGCGGCCATTTTGAAATCGATATTAGAATTTAGAACAAATGAATTTGATGAAAATATGAAAATGAAATTTTAAAAGTGTATCCACTGGTCGCTAAAACGCATATTTAAGCTCAAGATTACCCATCAAAGTTTTTGTATGGGCCTACTTAAGATCACAATATATATGATATATATATATATATAGTGGCAGCCATCTTGAATATCTCAATTTCCCCAAGGATGCCGAGGTGGCATTATCTAGATTCGGGATCAGCAGGTCTGAAAGGCCTAGAAACCATCAAGAAACATTGCATGAACGGTAAAACCAGGTGAGGGTTAAAATAGGTATTTGGCAACTTCGTTTTAATTAATCAAATGGTTGATTTTTTTCTGTTGCCCGATAGCTTGACTATCATTTTCTCAGATATCCCACCCATCTGTCACAGTGTCAATATTTCTAGCTAACAGCTCATGTATGATTCCTGTTGAATCATGTGTGGAGTTTGTAAGGTTTATGGTTCGGGACTTCTGTTTGTTTTTGCCCTTGCTTCATCGAAAAGTGAAAGGCAACCTTCATTTTCACAAACTGGTTTTCAATTAATTGAATAAAAAAAGGTAACTGAGTAAAAGAACAAATGATTGATTCATTTAGCAATGTTGGGGCACATATCAGGGGGCCAATGCAGAACAGCTTGGAAGAATATTGTGTGATTTATACAGCTTGTAACTAGTTCTCGGGTGGTCGTGCTGGTTTGTAAAGAGTGCATAGATTTCCCTTCCAATTATATTGCTTAGAAGCTTTATGAAACTGCCCAATTGATACAAAAAAAAAGTTTCTGGTGTAGCAAATTGTAACGTACGTGGGCAGGATAAATAATGTGATGAAGCAGCATCAAACATCTGGTTTAAAACCAGGTGCACGGACGCCGATAATAGCCGGAGCCGAAGGCCAGGGCTATTTCTCCGAACCAGTTTAAACCAGACGTTTAATACTGCTCCATCACACTATTATTCCCATTCCTAAATACCTTTTTTGGTCTAACAATTTTACGTTATATTGCTCACCCTGTTCAGGGGCCATTTATATGAGCAGAGCGTGTGATTGTCGTTATCGGTAACTTTCAAAATGTTTTAAATGTTGAAGTCCCTGTTTCGTCACCTTTAAAGGGAATATATATGGGTCATTCTACATGTATAAATTTGGAGTCCAAAAGTGTGAGATTTTGGTGTCCCTGTTACACCTGACCTGTGTGTGATTTGACAAGGAAATTGAAATTGACTCCCAACTATTTGTATTTGTTTAGCAGGTACTTTGCATTACATAATCACTCTTGGAGGTACATGTAAAAGTCATTAAAGAATGTGTTCTGAATTTACAAAATTTTACATCAGATGTAACAGCTACACCAAACAAAATTGGACCCCACATTTATAGAATGACCCATATATATACAACATTTGCAATCTTCAAAAGACAAAACTACCAAATTATGTTTTTCTCAGTGCCACTTTTGGCATTAATTTTTGTCATACATCATTCAAAGTAAGCATAGTCATAGTCCTTATTGCAGAGATGTGCCCCGAAGTGTGATGCCATGATGATGTTATCCTGGGTCACGTGACTTCATCACAAACATGCATATTTTGAAGTCCTTTATTTACAGAACTGTAAGTCCGACTGGGTTGTTACTCCGTATGTAGGTAGACCGGGATGTGTTATAGGTAAAAATTGAAGTGACTCATGATGACGTCATCGTGCGATTTCATATGCTTTTTTGAAATTTTTGACCTTTAAGCCATATCTCACGAACGCAACATGCAAAATTCAAAATTAATTTTGTATTTTGTTTGTTAGGTAGTAGGTATTTGCACAAAATTTTGAAAAACGTGTGACGTCATGATGACGTCATAAAAAAATTGTAATTTTTAAAAACACATATAAGGGAAAGTCCGATCGTCGTAAAACTTGGTGGGTTGCTAGATAATGGTACTAGTATGAAAAATCTGACATGACGTCACCATGACGTCATCGCATGATTTTTTACAATTTTTTTTATATTTACTTTTTCATTCCGCTTCCAAAATTTCACACTTCCTTTCATTGGATTGACTTCAAGCTTAGTACAAACCAAGACCACATTGCACAAATGTGCACTGAAAAGTGTTATCAAGATGATATCTTCGTAAGGAATGTGACGTCGTCATTACGTGCATTTTTAAAGGCTCATATTGAGAAAACTATCAGTCCAAATGTGTCAAAATTGCGTATGAAGGTAGTCCAATGCTCTGATTTAATTGACGATAGTATATCTCACAGACGCTACATAATAAATTAGAACATTCTTGTTTCGTATACTTTGAAACGTTGTACATGTACATGCATCTAGTCTGGGACGTGTTATTGATAAAAAAAACCCCATAATGCGGAAAAGCCCTATTAGTCAGGTGGCATATGGTCGGAATCGTGACCGACTGGTCCAAAGCACCAAACTTGGCAGATAGATTCTTATAGCCCTAGAGAAGATATTTAGAAGGGGTGACACCTGAAATTCTTTTGGGAAGGGTGCCTTATTTGCATAAATCGTTAATCCCTGTCGTGTAATATATTTATTCCCATATTTGGGTATATTTTTATTTTTTTATTTTTTTGAAAAGTGTATTTTGGTGATTCTACTTGCATATTCTTACTTCAATAACATTTTGTAAAACATATAAGTGACTGAATAATTAGGAGGACATAGTAAAGAACCAAAATTGCTACTATTTTACCCTAAAGTTACGCGCATTTACCTTTTCCTCAGATATCATCAACTTGTCTCGCCAAACGTGGGTATTGATGAGCTTCAAATTCACAAAGTTACTTACTGGCATATTTACCCTAACAAAAATAAGTGGAAAATCAAGTGAAAATTGATAACATCTTGATGTTTAGCCCAAAAGACCAAAAAAGGAGAGAAAATGTGGTGTCTGTAAATTGGGCTAGTACGGGAAGGGTATTAAACAAATTCAACGAAATCCCCCTCATAAGAGATTATTGTTGTTTACAATAATTTTGTCTACGCAACGTTTTCTCAACAATAATTTTGGGAATTTCCTTGAACTTGCTCCAGTGTTCCATGTTAGGCAACCCTTCACATACTTGTTAGCCTAATTTATGGACACCTCGTTTTTCCCTAGTTTTTGTTTTTGGGCTTAATATCACAATGTAATCATTGTTCACATGATTTTGCATAAGATTTTATAGGGTAACTGTACCAGTAAGCTACTTGGTGAATTTGAAGTTCATCAATGCTGATGTTTGGCAAGACTAATTGATGATATCTGGAGACAAGGTAAATGCGCGCAATTTGAGGGCATAATAGTAGCTAATTTTGGATCGTTACTATGTCCTCATAATTATTCAGTCACTTATATGCTTTGGAAAATGTTATTTAAGTAAAGATATGTAAGTAGAATCCTCAAAATACACTTTTCAAAGAAATAAAAAAATATAAATATACCCAAATATGGGAATAAATATATTACACGACAGGGATTAACGATTTATGCAAATTAGGCACCCTTCCCAAAAGAATTTCAGGTGTCACCCCTTCTAAATATCTTCTCTAGGGCTATAAGAATCTATCTGCCAAGTTTGGTGCTTTGGACCAGTCGGTCACGATCTTGACGAAAATTAGATCTAAGCCACCTGACCATGTGTTCTGTTGCAAACAGACATAGATCTCTAGTTATTATTATTATTATTATTATTATTATATTGACTAATTGGGGAACCGCCATCACATAGGGCTGGATAGCTCAGTTGGTAGAACACTGGAACTGCTATCCGGAGGTCACAGATTCAAACCCCGCTCCAGTCAGTTTCTTTGTTCAACTTTTCAATTGTTATAATTCACCTAGTGAGTTTCCCTGTGTGATTCATTTGCAAGTTAATGAAATTATAGTAATTCTCTGTATTGAACAGTCCGGTGCCGTGATCCTTACCTTATGCATGGTAGCTTCCGCCTTATCCAGGGCGATCGTTATGAGCATGGGTCCACCATAAGGTACGAGTGTAACCCAGGTTATACATTACAAGATCCAGCCGCTGAATATTCCCATTGTGATGATGGCACATGGAGCAGGGAGATACCACCCGTATGCCAATCAGATGAAGGTAAGGCAGTGGAAATGCCGAGCTGTAATGCCATGGCTCAATCAACAACAAATAAAATCATAAGGAAAACCCTGCATCACATTCTTATTGTTCAATTTCACATGTAGGTCCTTCTACATGTACGTACTTTGATGTTTTGCAGGTAATTTATTTGAAGTGCTTCAGTTGTAATTTCTTGTAATACTGCAAGGAAATGTGAAGGTACGAATCACAAGAAATGTGTCACATTCTGATTTTTTTTGGGTCATACCGACACAAATTATTGTCATTATGGATTCCTCCCAAAGTGCCTTGTTGCTCGTAACTTTTTTTAATGGCTATCGCCTGCGGGATACAAATTTGAAAGAACAGAAAATGATTGGAAATTAGTCACAGTTAAAGAAGATATCTGTTGTTCACACTTCGTTTTAATAGTGAAAGATAATGGATAGAAGGGAACCAAGATTCAGGAAGGGAATTCAAAAGTATGAGGGAAAAAAACTTGACAAATACACGTATCTCACATTATTAGCCTGAGGAACCTACATGTAGATGAAACCTGTTGAAAAATGACAGTGATCAAATACATTAACGTTGATACCGGTAGGTGGCAGGAGAGTCCCAAAATTGAGAGATATTCTGAGGTAAGTCCATGGAATCAAGAAAGAACTGATTAACTTGTTGTTTATCTGATTTGCGTTTTCAGTACCTGACGCACCTGTGGCAGCTGCCACATGTCCCACACCGTCAGTCCCCAGTGCCCTCATCTACCACCGTGGCCAAAACATTGCCACAGCAGGCTTTGAAATCATCTTTGGTAATCGTGATGAGATTGAGGTTCGATGTAATACAGACTTCACAGTCAGTGGCAGGGAGGCAGTGACCACTACTTGTTGGAATGGAGCCTGGACTCCTGCACTACCACGTTGCGGTAGGACAAAGGGTCCTTAATTTTTATCGACTGTTTTTGCCCTGCAGGATAATTTTTGTAATAGATAAATTGGTGTGGGTTTTTTTCAGCTAAGGTTGCAATTAATTGAACTGCCAATTTATTTTTGGGGTGCTGTAGTCAAATGGTTACCGTGTTCGATTCATGTGCTGTGGTACATGGGTTCGTGATGGTGGGATCATGGTGCTTGTGCTCTTGAGCAAGGCACTTTACCATTATTGCTTCATCCTTTGGATGGGACGTAAAGCCGTAGGTCTTGTGCGTTGTGTAATGCACGTTAAAGAACCCAGTGACACTTATAGCTAAGGAGAAGGGGTTTGTCCCTGTGTTTCTGGCAGTGGCCGCAATATGTGCCGCAGCACCATGAAAACCCGGTGCTACGTAAAAGGTCTCATATTTCTCATATACTTTATTTACCTTTCCTTAATAGTAGACATAATTTCCAGCGCCTTGAGTACCTAATTGTTGGTAAATACGTGCGCTGTATAAGACTCTGTTATTATTATTATAATTATTATTATTATTTACTGCATTAAGAGATTAATATCAAATGTACTGACAATGAAATTGCTGAAAACCAATTGCTTTCTTACCTTTTCCAGAATATTTCTATTATTTCAGCCAAGCACACTAGTCTGTTTAAAGGAGTCTTGCAGCTTTTCACTTATTACTACTTGTTTTTGATCATGGCATGAAAATGTCTAATCACATCACACAACTTTGTCGCTCTCTTAACTGGCATATCTGCAACCTTAGTTGGATCAGGACATTGCTTGACTTTATTGCTTGCAACAATGCTGTCCGTGCCCCAATTCTGTCAAAGCTGGACTATTGCTGCTGTCTGCTAAACTAGTCTCTAAGAAAGACATATATATCTCGTCAAAACAGATGTGCCTGGCTTATCTTTCAGAAGCCCAAACACACCCATACCTGCTCAAACAATTACACTGGCTCCCAGTCGCCCAACACATTCAGTTTTGTACATCGGTTCACACTTACAAATCACTATTAAAAACACTGCATCAGATTATCTTTCCTCTAATCCAGCAGTATTGTATAACTCCCTTCTGTCTGCTCTTCTTCTGCCATGTCTGCTGGAGAGTCCGTTGTCATCCACAAGTCGCTTAAACAGGCTGGTGACAGCACCTTTTCCTTTGCCGCCCCCCCCCCCCCCCCCCCCAGTTATGGAATAGCCAACCCATCCCCATCAAAAAATCAAGCTGTCCTCTTTTCTTTGTCTTCTTTCCCTTTTTCATTTCTTTGTTATAGTATCCTTTGTCAATTTGGTGCTAAAGTCCAGTTATTATTATTATTATTATTATGATTTAATACCAAATCTTAAATGTGTTTGTTTTTTTTGATAGCGGTTACATACAAGCGCTCTTGTTCTCGTCCTGGGAAGATCACGAATGTCAGACAGTATGGTGACGATTCAATCAAGCTACTTGACACCCCTCGCACCTCATTCTTCCATGAATCCACCATAATGTCGCGGTGTCAGGATCCATTGAAGATGAAACTGGTAACTGGTCCGCTCCGCACCTGTAATGACGGCAGATGGACTGGACCCGTGCCAGTATGCTGTACGTTTTACTTTGATTAATATTTGATTGAACAAAATATTGTCTTGAGCCAGATTTGAACTGGCGACCTCCGGCTCATACTTTGGTGCTGCATCAACTGAGCCATTTAACCCAATATGCAGTACCTTAATTTGTCCAAAAAATGTGTATGTTCATAGAACCCATGTGTGCCAAATTACGTTGCTGACCCTGAGAGTATGTGGCAGGGCCAAATTTATCTTGTATATTTTTCATGTATGAAGTGTATAGTATATAGGAGTAGCTCCCCTTTAGAACAAACAGAAATCATTTTAGTTTTACTTAAGATTCCCCCCCCCCCTTTCTTGGTAGTGTGTCCCCCTGGTTGTTTACTTTAGCCCACATGTTCCCCCTATAAAAGCTGCCACATGGTTAAGCCACACTTTAATCAACCAGCAGACCAACAGAGACAACTTCATAGTATACATCTTATGTTCCTCCTAACTGGAGTGGTGTGTCCTGTTTGAGCTCTGTCTGCTCGAGTCATTTGATTTCTGACAGAAGTGTCTTTAAGGTCCACTTTATATACAACACTGTGTTGGTTAAATACTTTTGGGTTTTTTTGGTTTGAGTCTTTGGTTTTTTAGGTTTAAGTTTTGGTTTTTAGTCTTTGCTCTTACTTGATTTTCGTGGTCTTAGTTTTATAATTATCTGGTCATTTTGAAAGTTCTTGTGAATAAATTCTTTTTGTCTTTTTCTGTTCGAAATCTAGAATTGTGTCCCTTGTTCCTATTAATTCAATTTCCTCGCGACTTTTTCCTTCAAAGATCCCAAGTTTAGTAAATTTCGTTAGTAAATCCCCATGTAGAGTCTGTTTAGTGCGAGTTTCCCCAAGTGTGTCATTTTTCCAGGTTACAAGTACACTACCTTTATTACAAAGGCTCACTTTTAATGAAATATAGTGTATGAAATTTAACAGTGAAATTCAGTAGACAGGCCAGAATTTGAACCTGCGACATTCAGAATACTCTACCGACTGTGCAGGAATACATTGGTTTCCCAATTTATCAATGCTCTAGGGCAGTACTCGGAGACCATGAAATCAAACATGATCTTTGCGATTTTGTGCACCAAGATCTAGCGGTGTTGCTTAAAGTAGTATCCTCTTTTCCTATTCATGGCAGTGCGAGCATTAACTAGCTTCAGCCTCCCAGCCTTAGATACCACGCTCCATCAGTTCATGGCTAATGGAACCTTGCTCATCTACCCTGGTGTTGGTCAGTTGAATGTGGATTGCATCGTCTCCAGCGGTTACCCAGTTTTAGAACAGAGTCACTCGCAAGAACGGGTTCCAGGTGGTCGAGGACAAAAGAAGTATGGTGTACCTGCAGAAGGTCATTCAGGGACTTACATCTGTAAGAAGTTTGGATCGCCAACTGCATTTCATCGGCTTATGATACAGGTAAGAGGTAAGTCCAGTTGTCAATTTATCTTTATGAGTAACTGCCAGTTTAAAGTTTGTCGATTTTCAATTCAGCTTGACTGAACCTTACTTTAGAGCATTTTTGTGATGGATAAATTAATGATCCTTCTGAATGCAAGTAAGTTGCATTAATGGTCCACAATTCATATTTGACATTGATACGAAGTTGTGTAATAGTTAAAGGCTTGTTTTTGGAGTGCATGTTAGTAATTTTCTGCAGTGTTATTATTTTCTGTACTTTTTTTATAGCCGTTTCCTGTTCAGAGCCAAGTCCCCCGTTAAACAGTCGTCGTATCGGTGATGACTTCCGCCTAACAAAGTCAGTATCATTTAAATGCAACGAGGGCTATGATCTCATCGGGGAACGGACGATCAAATGCAACCTTGGTAAATGGTTGGGAGAAAAACCACGCTGCAGAGGTGAGTGAATGAGGCTTCCATTCTACATGTACATTCTGAGTGGATTGTTTGAACAAGAAACACTATAGCCTAGCTATTGCCATATTCAGGTACATGCATCTCGCACCTGATGACTTTGTTTTTTTGGAAAGTTCAAAAGAGAGGATGCTTTGGGCTCACCGCTTTTGAAATTGCGTAGGTTGTCAGATATGTGACAGGTCGTTTTATAGAGACTATTGAGGGAATGGCAAATGGACTTCTTATTCAAATGGTGATTTATTCATTACCTGTAGTACAAAGACAAAAATATACATGTTGTCAGTTCTTCGCATGACAAGGTAAATCCTCTAATTAGAAATGAAACAATGTTTAGACTTTAAATCAAAAAGAAAACGTTAAATATTAAGTAAATCATTCAGTAATGCAAATTAAGTTATTTACACTATTTACAAAAATGTGGAAATAATATGAATATAAATCAAGCTTTGAAATTCCCGCCAAAACTGTTCTTGGGACCGCCATGAATTAAGGATTATGAAACTTACAGTTAATAAAATAAGCACTAATTATAAAAGGAAACGGGAACAAAGTATAATCTGAAACTACAACATTTATCGGTGTTGGACTTCATGCTTTGGAATTGACCCATCGGTGATCGTTGTCTCCCGAGCAAAATATCTACCTCTCTAAGTTATTATTTAACATAATGAAATCATTACAAACATGATAAGCTTACACTTTATAAGGATATATCTAAAGTATAAAGTACAGTTAAATAAGAAATGGAACTAAATCAAACAGTCATTTAACACCTGTAGTACGAAGACAAAAATATATATGTTGTCAGTTCTTCGCATGACAAGGTAATGAGGAAGCCCGCGAAAATAATTTAACAAGGCAGAACCACCGAGGGTGCTACACAAAAGCCACATTGCGTAACATGTCAACACAAAAGAATTAAAGGGGGGTACATGTATGTTAAACTCGATTACATTTAAAGGAACTATATGTATACTTGTCACATATACATGAAATGTGGATAGTGTTGTGCCTCTCGCATTATGAGAAAGACATTTCACTTGTTTTCACCAGTTTCTGTGTTTGCATGGCCAGTGAACAGTTTTCACTAGAATGTGCACATATATTTAGAGATTTAGAGGTTTTACACGTAGATTAAAACACTTGATGAATAACCTGGCATGACGTATGGTTGGCTTTATAATTGGAATCTTTTTCAAAAGTTCATAAGGAATAATTGCTTATGGTTTCTTGTGTTCCGCAACCAGCTCGGGACTGTCCTGAGATCAACATGGCACACCTAGACCCCAACCTACGTCTCACGATAAATGGAGGCAACTCACCAGGCTCAGTAGTGATATTTACTTGCCAATCCGGATTCCATCGGGTAGGAGAAACACGCCTCACTTGCCAGGGTGGCAGCTGGTCTCTTCCCTTCCCTACTTGTGAAGGTGAGGCTCTGGTCTATTTGGAAGTCAGTCAAACAAGTTATTCTGTTTGAAGTAACTCGGTAACTAACATGTACATGTATGTGATTCGGTTACTCAGTAACTACCATGTACATGTATGTGGTTCGGTTACTCAGTAACTACCATGTACATGTATGTGGTTCGGTTACTCAGTAACTACTATGTACATGTATGTGGTTCGGTTACTCAGTAACTACCATGTACATGTATGTGGTTCGGTTACTCAGTAACTACTATGTACATGTATGTGGTTCGGTTACTCAGTAACTACCATGTACATGTATGTGGTTCGGTTACTCAGTAACTACCATGTACATGTATGTGGTTCGGTTACTCAGTAACTACCATGTACATGTATGTGGTTCGGTTACTCAGTAACTACCATGTTCATGAATGTGGTTCGGTTACTCGGTAACTAACACGTACATGTATGTGGTTCGGTTACTCAGTAACTACTATGTACATGTATGTGGTTCGGTTACTCAGTAACTACCATGTACATGTATGTGGTTGGGTTACTCAGTAACTACCATGTACATGTATGTGGTTGGGTTACTCAGTAACTACCATGTACATGTATGTGGTTGGGTTACTCAGTAACTACCATGTTCATGAATGTGGTTCGGTTACTCGGTAACTACCATGTACATGTATGTAGTTCGGTTACTCAGTAACTACCATGTACATGTATGTGGTTCGGTTACTCAGTAACTACCATGTACATGTATGTGGTTCGGTTACTCAGTAACTACCATGTACATGTATGTGGTTCGGTTACTCATTAACTACCATGTACATGTATGTGGTTCGGTTACTCAGTAACTACCATGTACATGTATGTGGTTCGGTTACTCAGTAACTACCATGTACATGTATGTGGTTCGGTTATTCAGTAACTACCATGTTCATGAATGTGGTTCGGTTACTCGGTAACTAACATGTACATGTATGTGGTTCGGTTACTCAGTAACTACCATGTACATGTATGTGGTTCGGTTACTCGGTAACTAACATGTACATGTATGTGGTTCGGTTACTCAGTAACTACCATGTACATGTATGTGGTTCGGTTACTCGGTAACTACCATGTACATGTATGTGGTTCGGTTACTCAGTAACTACCATGTACATGTATGTGGTTCGGTTACTCGTAACATGTACATGTATGTGGTTCGGTTACTCAGTAACTACCATGTACATGTATGTGGTTCGGTTACTCGGTAACTAACATGTACATGTATTTGGTTCGGTTACCAGAGCAGACAGTTATATAATGATATAAGGATTCCATTCATAGTAACAAATCCATGTAGGCCTAGAGTAATACGTTAGGACGGTAAGCACAAACAAATATACAATTAATCATCCTTATTGCTTTGAACCACAGAAGGGATATGGATTCACCATCAGTATTTTCACAAAGTTTCTTATAGGTATATACAGGTATAACTTTATTTTTTGAAGAATTTGGAAATACATTTTCCCCCACTGAAAAAGACTACCGTTATATCATGAAAGAACTACCCTTATAGTCTTTTTAAAAGGCTTTTAGAAAACTTTGCAATTGAATGAATGAAAAAAAGATGGCAGTACAAAGAGAATTTACTTCAATATTTGACACCCAAGAGCTCAATGCAAGAATCCTAAATCTTTTTTTTTGACAGCCGATGTTCCCGATGACACAGGCCCGCTATTGGGGCCAGATGACTGTAACTGTGAGGTTTGGGAGAGATGTGTGGCCAACAGAAACGGCCCATCAACATGCCACTGCATCCACCCGCGGCAGTGTGATGACGTAGGCCAGGAGCAATACTGTGGTAGTGACGGTCGAACGTACACCAGCATCTGCAGAATGAAGGCTGCAGGCTGTCTGCTGGACTTGGACATACAGGTCGTCAGCAATGGACCTTGCCCAGAAAGTAAGACAGTAATGTTTCATATCTCTCTGATCTTGTGATTGTTTAGTTGGAAATGAGTTGGGCTCACCAAATGTCTTTTTATAGAAAGTCCATTTTCTCCCTAGGATGCATTTTTGCTAGGAATCTTCATATCCTCCAAAACTCTCTACTTTGCAGTGAACCAATTACACATCCTTGGTACATTTCATCTGACACCAAAGCACATGTAATTGTGACTGCTGGTTTGTACCAAATGTTTGTACCTATTGCTCCTGGGCAGCCTTGCATTGTACACAGTCTGGTCTTAGACTATTCTGAGGATCAGGCGTTCATGTGTGCAGAGCCACACTTTGAACGTCTGATCTATGCGTGCATGTAAACTTTATGTGAACCCGCGTGCCAGCCAAACGGAACCGCCTTTGGAACTTGGGACGTCATTTAGAGCAGAAATTTGGCCAAAGCTGTTGCTGAGTGGTCGATAGCTGCCAAATTTTTGTCACACAACATCGGGTTACCGGAAACACGATAGAAGACGTGCGCTGAATGGTCAGAATCTGGAGGTCAAGACGCAGTGCTGTTTTGCATAATTTGCATGCATGTCATTCCGTAAGAAATTCCGTAGGTGTAGACCTGATCAGATCAAAATTCCTTGTAATGACATGTTAAGCACTGTTTACCGGGCAAGTGGCCTATGTACTGAGGAGGCATAAGATAGCTACCTGAGATACTAAGTTACTCTCAGTGTGCATTTAATAGCCATTTTACTAGCACTATGCATAAAAGACCATGTGCCTGCTTCACACAGACAAACACATCCAATTAGTTCCTTAAATCGTGCGACATACTATAAGTCTATTCCCCTAAGTTCATTTAAGTCTGTAGACTTCCACATTCTATCTTGGTTGAGGTACACGAATTAAGACAAATTTAGACACGTATGCCAATGTGTTGGAGAATTTGAGGATCCATCCAAAACAAGATGATAATTCAGTGTGTGTTCTCTGACAACCCGGAATTTGTTTGTTGGAGGATGTGGGTATGTAATGCAGCCCAGTTTATGTCTAAATCAAGTATTGTAATCCAGGATACTATGGGCAAATCAAAGTGTGCTTTGTTATCCATGAAGTACAAGTTATCATGTCCGCATTATATAAAAACATAGATGTACGTGTAGGGGTGTAACTCGGCAAAAACAGCAGTTAAATCATTGCGTTTTTTTTTAGCAACTGGGGATCCCAATCAGCCAGAAGAAGATACTTTATACAGTGATTATGCTTCTGAGAGCTCCGAGTTGTCCATGGACTCAGCTTTGTCACCGATACCAGCAGATGGAAAAGACATGCCTACTGCTGCTGACCGATCAGTAGAAGGCACCACGCAGGGAAGCAGTACCTCCATACAGTATTGTGAGACTTGCGTTGCCCTAAACCTTGGAACGGCTTGCCAGAATTCAACACATGGTATGTTGTGCTTTACATTGATTTATTAATTTCTGTCCTGGAATTTGGATTGGGTTTGGTTGTATGGCAAGTAAGCACCGTCGATTTATCAATATTTTCTCAAGTATTCAATATTATTTTGAAATCAATATCGCCGATAGTGATTTTTAAATCGTATCAAAATATTGAAATTTTCGTTATGGAGGAATGATATCGAAAATCTTAAAAATGAGTCGGATTATCGTCAAAATAAATCTCCTGTTTGTGCTTTTACTTTGTGTTTAACGTTTGCTGTATAATGAAATGAAACTTGGCGCAAGTTGTACTCGCTAAGCAGCTTCACTTTGAGCTCTGCGTTGGCTTGAATTCGCGGTCTTCCCTTCGTAAGACCTCAAAAGAAACCGCCCGTTCTGGACAAATGTCGGTGCCGAGATTTGTTTTAAAAGGTTTGAGCAATATGCTCCAGAGAAAGCCCTGGAAAATTGGGACTTGTATTGATAAGATTGTTTTTGTTTCATCAAAGTGTCATTTTTATGGTCTTTAACTTTTACATGGGATAATCGATCGATATATTGAATATTCTCGATATTGGATTTCCGATATATAGATTATTGAAAATTCTGATATCGATGGTGCTGAATGGCAAGCAGTACAATTGTTTTGGTAGCGTTTTCTATGGAATGGCACAACAAAAGTTTGAGATAAACTGCCGGTGCAGGCATTTCGAGTTACGGGGATACAGGAATATTCGTGCACGTAATATCCTATTCTCGTGATTGGAATGGAGTATTCTAGATAAATGGAGTTTGAGTGATCTGAATTTACTGTAGAAGAGTTTACTGTACATCACAACTGCTCTGCTTTCCGACTGTAAAAAAAAAGTCCATAATGTATATATCTCTGCTAAAAAATCATGGAAGGAAAGTATTATTTAAAAGAGAAAAAAAGAAGAAAAATCAACTTTAAATTCTACACTCTAACTTGTCTTTTTTATCTTTGACTTTTAAATTGCAGTCTTCGTTGGCATACCGCAGAAAGTTGAGCCAGCTCAGCCAGACAGTCTCAACTACAGTGTGAATGTCGTGACTACCATCAAAGGTTACACTCATACCCAAGATATCACTTTCCTGATGCAAGGGACTCTTGATGAAACCAACCAGTGTTATTGCCCCAGAGTCACTGTAGGGCATGATGAGTACCTTTTTATTTTGCGAGAGAATAGTTCTGCAAGTTTCCCAATCACAAATGGCTTTGTTGGATTATGGGCCGACCACAGTGCAACTTACAATAGCACCTGCAACTTGTAATTCCTTGGCCACATTCATTGTCCATTCAAGTTTTGGCTATTTTGACCTTTAACCCCTTCAAGACCAGGAGTATCAACAGTGTCCAGTAAAATGATTTTAAATATGATTGAGGTTGTGTTGAATTTATTGTGCATCAAATAGGTCAACAATGGGCACGCAAAAACACTGCTGCAGAACGCTTTTATACTATGTTTTTTTTTTATATCCATATAGACATTTCCCCAAAAATATGACGACGTCAGCCAAAGACACCTTAAATTGAGTACTTATAGCATGGTTGATGCTATAACCCATTCCTGGTGGTTAAAAGCCCATCACATGGCCGGTCTTATATGATAAAGACCGGTAAGCTGGTATTAAACACTTTTTCCAGTGTCACATAAAATTTGGACTCTATGAAATCCAGTGCCTTTTACGTTTTATTAGTTGAATGTTCACAATCCTCACATAGGCATGCACAATGGTAGCAGTGAGTCAGAATTTCTTAGTCCTAAATTCACAACGCACCACCCCAGTGGCATTCCGCCGCGCCAAGCTCCATAAAAGGAGGTGTTTACGACATACTCGTGAGCTGGACACTCCGTTATATAGCTAGAGTTATATAAGTATTGAAAAACATGAAATGAGCTTGTTGAAAAAAATCTTTGGAAATTTTGAATTGTTGACTTGTTTTGACTTTTCGACCGAAAAGTTTTTATCTTTTTAAATTTTTATGGTTTTTTTTAAATATTTTTATTTGCTTGGTCGGTATTAAACATCATGTTTAAGACCTGGTGGAGGCTGGATGCTGATAGTTACCCTTGCCTTTGACTCCAGTAATTATCAGCATCCATACCCCAATCAGTCTTAAATAGAGTGTTTAAAACCTCTGAAGCACACATTTATTCCAGTCTGGCTCCATAACTGTTTGCAAATGAGTTATTTTGGCTACCAAAATGCACTTTTATTCAAATTCACTTTTATTCGAATTCACCTCTGATTTTTTTTTTTCAATACAAGATACAAATAGTTAATCTTTTTTGTTTGAGTTTCAAGGGATGTTTCTACCATGTTGTATATTTTTTTAACAATATTACCTATTCAATAAGTTACCTCCACTTCATTTCGAAACTCAATAAATCTAATTTCTTCAGGGGGAAAAATAACAAATAATATGATGAAGGAAATTTGCCAGTGGTTCTGTATACATGTAGTTGCTTGGATTCGCTGGCGATTTTCCTCTCAATCAAGTGTCATAAACACTCTTTTTGTACAGTCAAAACCGGAAACGACAGGCAACTATTCATCCTTCCCCAAAAAAGGACATTTTTTATAAGAAGGAATTTTAATCAGGGAGATATTTTATAATGGGTTTGCCGTTTTTCGCTCACATATTTAGAAACACTGTTTTGGACGGCGCGGTATTATGTTATGGTTAGCTGAGCCAGTGAATAGTCATTTGAATGTGCTGTTCATCGGTTGCTATGTAACCATCCAGCACTCCATGTTTAAGAACCATTGAGTTTCAAGACAATGGGTCTTGGATCTAGATAAGGCAATGTAAACATTTCCTGGATGTCCGCGCCTGCCTATACTTCGAGTTATCCGAGGGTAGTTTGTGGGCAAACATTCACAAACCCGGACCCGACTCGGCTGGGTCGTGGGTTCGAGTTCCACCTGGCTAAGCTTGTGAATTTCCTGCAAGCAGACAACGCTGAGTCATATACAGTGTTTATGACTATGTTGGCTAAGGACAACCCCCAATATAATACAGGACACTTTTAGTAAATATTGGTTTTTTATTTCAATTTTATGATTAAAGAGTATTTTAGGAGGTCAAATTTAGGAATGCACTTTTAGTAATAAACATCGCTTTGCCGAATACATGCACTGAAGGGAGCACAATTTTCTTACATGTAAATATAATTATACCAAAAATAGAGGTATTTGTCTATTTTGATAACTTTAAGAGTGATTATTGTTTTTAAAAACGTTATGCGCCTAGGCCGTATCAAATGTCCCCCCCCCCGCTTCCCCAGGTCTGATGTTGGGATTTGGTAACGTTTTTCATGCCCCAGGGTGGGGATTTTGGTCGCTCAAATTACATTGTTAACATTGGCGTACTACATGGAAAGACTAGTGTGCCCCACGTATGTATGTAGGGGCATGGTCGGGGATTGTTACTTTTGCCCGAGAGGTTGGGATTTCGTCACTTCAAAAGTGACCATCTCTTTGTCTTGGGTGGGGCAGCCCGGGGGGGGGGGGGGGGGGGGGGGGAAACAATTGATAACCGCATTACCATATTTTTGGCTGGTACCATATTTCAATAGGGGGCGCTGTTCAAATTCGACGATTATTAACACCAGATTACAGAACGGTGTACCGTATTTTGAACAGGCGGACATAAGGCCAAAACAAAAATAATCTGTGTCTGGTCAGACCGAAGTTCCGGAATTGATGCGGCGACGCGTTTTTTTTCTTTTTTTTCTTTTTTCAAGTTTGAATTGTACAGACAAGGTGGGTACTATTTTGCTTTTTTGTGTCATTATACATTGGTGTCCTCCATAATTTGCCTTGGTGAAATTTCCCCATTCCTTGGTGCTCCTTGGTACAAAAATTTGACGAGGTGCAGCAATAGAAGGCGCTGTTGTAGCTTCCGTGTTAATTGAAAGGAAGAAAAGGTTGACACGCATGATTAAAATTGACGCGCGCGCTGACCAGAGACCGAGTATTTTTTTTTTTGTTCTTTATATACCAGTATAATTTTTCGGGGATGTCACAGCAGGGGGGGGGGGGGGGGGTTGACTTATTTTTTAGGAATTTGTATGATAATTTTTTTTTTTTTTGACAGAGCCGGGGGGGGGGGGGGTTGACCCCCCAAACCCCCTTTCTGGATCTGCGCCTCAATTTATTAATCAGCGAATCTGTTCAAAAATTGCATCGGGTTCGTTAGTGTGACGTCACCTCAAGCTCTTTCTGCAGGATTGGAACCGGAAGTTAACGCAGCTCGAGCGTTTGTAGCCAATCTGGTTCGTTAGTGTGACGTCATCTCATTTCAACCATGCGTGCTATTCCTTCCTCCATGGTGTAGCATAGCACGAATAAAACCGGAAGTTAACGCACCTCGAGCGTTTATCCAATGGGCGCTAGTTATCAGTGGCGCGCACACGTGTATGACGTTTTTACTAACGACCAGATAGACCACGGCTTTCGCCATGGTCTATAACATTGACTATATGCAGCCATGTGGTTGCGAAGGACGATTTCTAAGTTACGTTACACTTTATTTTGAAGAAACTACATGTGCACAGACATGTTGACAGGCGGGTGAAATCTTTGAATATTAATTTCTCCCGTTTGGAAGACCGTATGCTCATGGAACTTTGAGAGATAATTTCCCTTGTAATGATCCAAGTAAGTGCTAAAAATCGTTGTGATATGTTCATTATTTTTCGTTGAAATTGGAAAAATAGGCCTGGCTACGTGCATTTTTGAAAGTTGTAACAGTGGTGTTCGCAATACCTGCCAATCTTTTCAAGCCTCACGAATATTAATAAGGTTCCTACGGTGTGCAGTTAAAATTTGCATAAAAGCCTCCTTCACGAGTTATTTAATAAAATATGACCCATTTTGCTGGCTTCCGAATTCCATTGGTCGATACCGAGACCCACGCCAAGTCACGGCGAGCTAGTGACGCTAATGAATATGCGATCGTCTTTGTGTTGCCGCCGGGCCGAAATCGGTCAACCATAGCGCCTACCGCGTTATAGGATCTTTGCTAAAAAGCATGCACGTGTTGGTGAAAAAATCCTCGTCGAAATTTTCCTGGGAGATAGTTCAAGGTGTAAAACTGGCGTTTGCAAGAACAGATTAAGCGGAATTATGTTTAAATGATATAAGTGCATGTTCAACTACTCGTGAAATAACAAGTTGAGTAAATTCCTTGAAATTGAAATAAAAACCTAAATTTGGGGACGTCTTCGAATGATTTCTTCCAGACTTGAAGGTCAGCTTTACCAGAAACCAGTATTGACACTTCGGCATCGATGACGATGATTTTTTTTTCACTGACATGAAGTTTAGATTTTTTTCTTCCGTTTTAATCGCAACCATACTGAGCATATTTTCTGAAAAACACAACGTTCAAAAGGCCATTTTTTTTGGGGGGGGGGGAATTACAATTTAACTGCTCTGTAATACAGCGTCTAATTAGTGCGTAATCTGAAGAGCTTTGCTTGACAACGGGCCGCGCCACGCTTCGCTTTCGCAACAACATGGCGGTACACGCCGTCCGTTGGGACGAATATTTCAATGACACGTGATCAACGACCCACCAATCAGATCGGGATTTCTTCAGGTGCTGTATAATTAACAATTGTTTACTGCTGTTATGTGGGATATGAGGCTTTGAACACCCAAGAGTAGGGACGCATAGCACCCGAGGCGAAGCCACTCTATGGTCCCGAGGGTGCTCAAAACGTCGTATCCCACATCACAACATTATATTGTTACATCACAGCAGTGTATTGTTAAGTATACATATGTTAGTCCCTAGCCTAGCATGTCATTGAAGGGACAGGAATCATAATAACTCCACTATTGGGGGAGGAGAGGCCTAACTTTGGACCGCTCTATCTTCTATTCATTATTTCTTTAAACTATTTAGTCAGTAGTTGTCAAATGACTGTTGTTTGAAATGTTAGTGTCGGGAAATGAAAATATGTGTTATACATGTTACATGTGTTTGGCTTCTTTATGTTGTTTTCTATCCTCAAGGATACATGGACTCATGAAGCTTTTCACAACCAAAATGAGCTGGTAATTGGTATGGCCTCCTGCCAGACCACTGTCTCATTCTTGGGTCTAACCAAACCCTTTGTTTTAGAGAGATTTTCCCATGCCCATGTCTAGCTATTTTTGGTAGCAAGAATGTCACTTTCACTAGCTGTGGAGACAAATCAATTAAGGTTTGGAGGTTGTTGGGACCTGGAAGAAAACTTGCTGATCAGCAGATTCACCCAGGACTCCCTGAAACACTAGCCAATCAAAAAGTTTATATTCAAATTAATTCAGAAGGAAGGAGTAGTCAATTTAATATGTAGCCAATCGGCAAATGGATCGAAGTGTCCATCACCCAACTAAAGTGGGTATTTAAGGTCCCGCATCAGGGCCAAAAGACCAGTCTGCACCCACATCCAGCAGGCCACTGAAGCCAAGCCAATGTCGTAGCCATAGAGGGGTGAGTTCTTGTCTTGTTATTTTGAGTTGTAATTTCGAGACTTAGTTTCTAGTTGAGAGCTATTTGTGTTCTGTAGTTGTAATATTGATTGAAGTTCATTCTTATATTTGGTGGTTCATGGTTTTAATCATTTGTTTGCATTTCTGTGCATGAAGTTATCTGCAGCTTGAGCCATTATTGTGTGAATAATTGTTGCACTTTTATTGACTCGAACCATGCTCGAACTTAGAAATTTACAATAATAGGTTCGGCAGTCAACTTAAATTGATCATGTGAATTGAACATGTATCTTAATTAGTGTATCATTGATAATATTGTGGAACCATTTGTTCAAGCATTATGTCATTCTTTTGTATATAGCTTCCAGCTACACAACTGGAGTTGAAGTGATGTACATGTAGCTGTACAGGCTGTTCTTTAACTTTATCCAGGTTAGCTCTTGATTCGTTGTGTTCTTGATCCACAATTAAATCCCAGATATTGAGTACTGTATTTTTGGAAACAATGTTTACTCAATTCCAATTCACAAGTCAAGGCAGTGTATTTATTTGATTCTGTTTTCCAAGTTGTGCTGTAGCTGATGCACTATGTTATTCTGATCTTATGGTACAGTCAATGTTTTGCTCCTGGTACTTTAAATACCTTGAATTAAGGACAAGGACAAATCTCTGTCTAGCCCAAACAGTGTTATGTAACCTGTCACATTCCATCTATTGAGCACCAGCTGATGTACTGTTTATAGTGTTTTGGTTACCAGTACTATGACCTTTGAACTGTGTGTTGTTGTCTATTGTACAATGACTGTAGTAGTAGTATTTTAAACCCATGTTTTGCATTATTTCTTAATGTACAGGGGTCCGTTGAAGACCGTCTGTCATGGATCGGTTGTAAATTCTGTCAAGGACCGTCCATTAACCGTCTGTAGAGTCCGTTAGACTCTAGGTTCATCGAATAAAAGTTCATCAGAGAGACATCGCAGAACTGTGTCGTTGTCCGTTAGTTGTTGTATCTTGATCTCGAACCCTGCGTTCTAACGAATGCTAAACTAAATCCGCTGCGAGGATTATACGACATTAGTACATGTACATCTTTTAAGTGTTGCAGATAAGCTAATATGGAAGAGATTCGCATATAGCTATAGCTGGAACTTTTCCTCTGACGTGACTTAGACGGTGGTTTTCACTTTATTTTTTTTTTTGACCGATATTTTCCATGTTCGTTCAAATATCAAAAACGCATCTAATGATATTTATCCTTTATGCAGCAAAGGATCCACTCAAATTAATTATGATCAAGTCGAATCAGATAGATTTTTTTGTCGGTGAAACTCTGGGTGTCATAAGAATATCAGAAGGTACTTGCAGACAGAACTTGAAAAATGTGACTGTATGCGCATAATTTTAATACAGGAAATCGCCTCTAGCTCTCCGGTATCACACGTACTCGATCAGGCGCGGTTCTACGGGAGGGGGGGGGGGGGGGGGGGGGGGGGGGGAGGGGGCTGTGGGGGGGGGGGCTGTAGCCCCCCCCCCCCCATTTTTTTTTTGTCTAGCCCCCCCCCCAAATAAATTCCGTTAAAAAAAAATTGCATTAGCAAAAAGAAGGATTGCGATGAACATGTGAACGGTCTCCTCCTAAAAGAAGAAATAGCCGTGACAAGGGTGCATTAGTTTATAGTGCAAGGGCGGATCCAGGAGGGGGGGGGGGGGCCAAAGGGGGCCATGCCCCCCCCCCAAAAAAACGAAACCATTTTTTTTTTTATGTGACATCGCAATAAAGGCAGGCAATGAGTACACCACCATCTTTTCCTCAAAAACAATTGGTTAAAGTGGTCAAAAAATTGCCTCAGATCGCACCACAGAGCATCTAGAATCCAAAAATTGTTCGGGGCCCTTAAGCGGGCCCCGAACCCCACGCCGTAATTTTTGGGACCTACTTTTTTGGGGGTCCAAAAATTGTTTTGGCCCCCCCACAAAAAAAATTGTGTTCTGGATCCGCCCTTGCTATAGTGTGAATGATGTTAGGATTTTATTGGCGCTCCCCATTGAAAATATGGCATGAGCCCCCCCCCCCCCCCCCCCCACCCCCCCCCCCCCCCCCCCCCCCCCCCCCAACCACCTATTGATTTTCGGAGGCCTAAGTGTCTGGAAAAAATAACCGGTCAACATTTCAGCACGCCTCCCTGAAAAAAATGTCTGCATCTACCGTGCTAGCCCCCCCCCCCCCCCCCAAATATTGGTTCTAGATTGCGCCTGCCCGGTTGCTATAATTCGTCACATCAGTGCGCGACATCGCGTACGTAGCTGCATTCGGCTCAGCGAGAACATGTCTTGGACGCTGAATTCAGGCGCAATTCAAAACATGATTCAGCAACTTCTGATTTGAAATTGAGATCCTAGAATGCTGTTTTTCTCAGAATATACAGCTGAAGCTGAGCTGAAACTTTATCAGGTGAGTTGTTCAGTACCCTTCTTTAGATTTTGAGCACCGGCTTTTGTTGCTTCAAACGAACAAAATGCACAAATTACAAATGATGGACTTTATTTTAAACAGCTGCAGCGAGATGTCTTTATAATAGGTAATGATAAATTACCTAGAATTCGAACGGAGGCGTTGACTAAAAGTAAAATAAACAATTGGGGGCGCCCTTTCAATCAACAATCGCCGACACAGCCGATGTTCGTTGAGCACACGTCTGCACAACTGACCATCGGGCCTGAATTTGCTGGCTTACTGGACACGGTTTGAGTCAAGAGATGGCTGTTTCTGACCAAGCGAAAGAAAGGCTTTGTCCTGCGGTGTCTCAGGTATATTGTCTGCTGTAGCCCCATTCTACATACATGTTAATTGTTATTGTTCTGTCCACAGGATCGACTAGCAAACGTACGTAATTCCGTTTTGACCACGTTACCAAAATCACGGCAGAGACTCTTTACAAAATACAATGTAGGCCTATTTATACATAGGCTACTCCTAGAACTATGATGAAGAACCCCGCAAAATTGTTTGTAGCACAAAACACTAATTAAGTACAAACACGTCCACAGAACCGCTGCACAGTTTGCCCCCAAACTCCGTCATGTCTGTACTACACCTCATGACATACTCACGGTACTCCGAGCGAACCGAAAATCATCGCTGGATCATGCGTGCACGTTTCAAGTGTCAGGTTGGCTCAGTGCGGAAAGGGCATATTTTTCATCATTTTAGCCAAAAAAATGACAAAATCCAGCGATGTTTGTTCTGCGCATATTACGTGAGTATGTCATGAGGTGTAGTACGGAGTTTTGGGGCAAACTGTGCAGCGGTTCTGTGGGAAATGTCTGCATTTTGATGGACGTTTTTGTACTTAATTAGTGTTTTGTGCTACAAACAATTTTGCAGGGTTCTTCATCTACATAGTTCTAGGAGAAGTAGGCCTATACATAGGCCCAAGCCCAGACAGGGCTCTGGAGTGCTCTGAAATGTGCAAAACTAAATCAGGCCCACTTTACTCACAGTTTAGCCAGCAAGTTTCTCCAAAAATTCTACTGGGGCAAAGAAAATGTCCTCAGTATTTCACCAACCAAGTTTGCAGACCAAATTCAATTTTTAAAGGAGACATTTCTTCAATATTTTACACATGAGAGGGAAGTCAACTGATTTCAAAATGGGGCTAAATACTAGACTGGTACATGTCCAACCATGGTCCAACTATTTGAAAAGACTGACCTCTTCATTCGGTGTCAATAGTCTGGTGGCTTGACTATGGAGAAATGTGTAGTAAATTGAGACTAGTTCCCGCTTCATGCCACATGTTTCTTAAATTCTTTTGGCATGGTTGATTGATACAATACTGAAGTTGTGTTGGACTGGTTGTTTTAGGTGCCAGTCTATTTTCTTGTTTTGCATTGGGACTCTCATACACAGTATTGAGAGTCCCAAATTTTCGGACTAGCCCAAGCCCCTACCACTACTGGTTAATATTAACCAGTAGTGGTAGGAGCTTATGTATGTTTTGTCAAGTCTCTGCTGTGATTTTGGTATTTGGAAAGAATGTAGTTTCAAAGACGCCGGAACAATGCTGCAACCTGACGCCACTTCCGTGATTGTGTACAAAGTCTATGGAGAGTCAAGACAATTTTCTTTATTTCCTTAGAACAAATTCGGAAATGTTTTTCAGTCCCGGATTCGTGTCTTTTTAAAACACATTTGCAATGACTGACCGTGCTTTAATCAGTTTTAATGAGATGATACTTTTGACATTGTTTGATATGAAGAAAAACTGGCAAGAATATAGTGATCCAGACGACACTTCAGCAGTTGTCTACAAAGCCTATGGAGAGTCAAGAAAATTTTAGTTTCAAAGTTTCATGTATTTCCTAACAAAATTTCTTAGTCCCAGATTCATGTTTTTCAACATTTTTGCATTATCTGACCTGCATTGATATGATTTGAAGAGAAAAGTAACGTCACGTTGCAATACTCTATAAAAAAAACCAATTAAAAAGTGGCTACAGTTTGCATTATTTTTTCCAGGTAGGCCTATTTTTGTCGTCTTTGGCTTTGCCGTGGCCACTTTTGGAGTTGGTAGTCCGAGTAAATTGGACCCAACGTATCGTATTGCCTTTTAACATTCGGACATGGTGTGGCGATAGTAGGGTCAAAGTTGCAGTCATAGGGTTTCAGTCAACAACCCAACCATTTGCCAACCAAAACCATCAGATTCCACCCTCAAAATGGCCGCAAAATTACTAGATATACCACTCTATACAAAAGTAGAGATCGATGACTAAGATGGAGGTACTAAGGTTTACTAATCTGTATGAAAAGTCAAATCTAACGTTTAATTCTGAAGTCTCCGTAGCCAACTTTTAGAATTCTACAGAAGACACTATCATTTTTCGGATGGTGTGTGGGCTATAGGCTTTGAAAATCCAAATTGATCCACTTTCTGAAACACAAATCCACCCAATAAGTTACCCTGGTTGATCCATAACTCTTGAAAAGTTAGGAACAATGACATTGGGACCTTCCGACAGAAGTTTTGTGGAAAAATTCTGAGATTTTACTCACCACCGTGTGTTTTCAGATATCGAGTACATTGACCACAGACATCCATTTTCAGGAAACAGTCGCCTGCATACGTGAAACCAGGCAACATGCAAGAACGCGCGTTGTCATGACATGACATGAGATATATGGAGAGCGACAAGGTCAAGTAGAGTACCTTGACTCGGGAACATACATGTAGAGGCCTTTATAGATACACACGCGTGCACCACGCATGACGTGAGTTATATCAAAGATAAATTACAGTCTTCAAATTTGAATGATATCACAGCGACGACAACATGGGCTATTAAAGGAGACCTTGGAATTGAGGCCAAATAAAAAAACTATTATGTTTATCGTCCCTGCCCGCTTCTTTTTTGGAGGCCGCCTCCTTTTTTCCCCTATTTTTGGTGAGCTGCGAAGCAGATGCGAGCCTACATGTATGTAATACCAATTTCCGTCCGTCTGTCCGGGCGCCCGTCTGGCCGTTCTGACCATACCACCCTTGTGGGGTGATGTTCCTTTCAGGACACATCACCCCACTTTTTTCACAATAGAAAAACATCACCCCAGAAGGGAATCTTTAGAAAAAGGGATAATGGGAACACAATGCTATCACCCCACAATTCCGTCTGGCTGGAACGGCCAGACGGACGGCCGGCCGTCCGCGTTCAGATAAAAATGTTGAAGTTTTTGGTTTTAGTTAACTTGGGTAAAAAAACTAAATGCAGTTGTCATGTATCATCTCTAGGCCTATAACTTCAGTTAGGTTCATATCATTGCAGTAAATTTTATGATTTTATTGAGGAACTTTAATTCAAGGAAATGTTAAAGTTTTTAATTGTTACATGTACATGTATACTGGTATAACATGTATGTGTGTATATCGGTATAACATGTACATGTACACTATGCATTTTTGGGGATGTGCATGATCTTCTGGTTTGATCTTTTAGTTTATGGGGTTGGAGTAGGGATGGGGTAGGGGAGGGTGGGGTGGGGTGGGTTGGGGGATAGGGGTTGGAGTTAGGGTTTGTGTGAGTAGGATGAGAAGGGGAGCTAGGATGGGTGGGGCGGGGTGGGGTGGGGTGGGGTGGGGTGGGGAGAGGGGTTGGAATACTGGGTTTGGGTGGGGTGGGGATTTGTAGGGGTGGGGTGGGACAGGTAGGGAGAGACAGGTAGGGAGAGGATGGGCATGGATGTAGGGGTTGGGTTAGGAGGGGGTTGGGCAGGGGGCGGGATATAGGATCGGAGTAGGGGTTGGGTTGGGGATGTGTAGGGATGGGTTGTAGGGGTTGGATAAGGGGAGGGGGCAGTATATAGGGATCAGAGTAGGGGTTGCATGGGGTCAGGTGGGGGAAATTGGAATTCGAGTAAGGGTTAGGGTGGGGATGTGTAGGGTGGGTAAGGACAGGTAGGGGAAGATAGGGTAGGTGGGTGTAGGGGGTTGGGGTAGGGGAGGGTACGGGTCAGGGGAGGGGGAAGGAGATAGGGATTGGAGTTTGGGTGGGGTTGGGATGTGTAGGTGATAGGGTGGGGATGGTTAGGGGAGGATGGAATGGGTGTGGGTAGGGGGTTGGGAGGGGGAGGGGGCGGGTTTGGGATGGGGTAAGGTTTTTGGATGGGGTAAGGTTTGGGGGAGGTGGTGATGGTGTCTACATGTACATGTATACCCATTCTTGTTCTGCATTTGTGGCGACTACACAAGATTTTTCCCATGGTAATACAAGTATGGGGAGCAGAAGACACTGTTGGGGCTGCAAAAATCCACAACTGGGTCTTAATTACCCTAACAATGGAAAACTCCCCCATAATAATACAGTGACGGCTAACCTATATACACATGTATTTATTAGGTAATCTGTTGACTTTTTATGTTGACATTTAAAAACTGACCCCTACACCTAGACACATCAACAAGAATCCTGATCCCCTTCCATCATGCTCATCCCCAACCCTACCTTCAGCCTCCCTTCCTGCCTTGGACAGCGGCTTCGCTGTTCTAGTTTTACTGGAAAAAAAAATGATAAATATTAAACAGTGACATCAACTTGGCCTCTTTGTCTGTTGCATCTAGCCCATATAAAGCTGGTACATGTCATTTCAAGTCCAAGTGACGGCCAATTTAAAAAAAAAAGCTGGCGGCCATCTTGAAAAATAGCCCAGTCGGGCAGCCATTTTGGAGGGGAAAAAAGGGCCTCCTTCTTTTTTTCAAAAAGGCAGGACGCTAAACATGTTTTTTTTACTTGGCCTACACAGTAAATTTCACTTTTCATCCACATCATAAGTAAACCTTAGTACCCTGATCTCAGTCATCGACCTCTACTTGTATCTCAGGTGGCGTATCTGTTTTGACGGTGAAATCTGATGTTTTGGTTGGCAAATGGTTGGATTGTATGTCTGCATTCATCTTGGACCCTAGTATAGCCAGACCATATCTGAATGTTAAAAAGGCAATACACATTGGGCTCGGGCTATTGAGATGAATTGGTGAAAATACTGTAGTTTAACTATAGTTTACAGCTGAAAGGAAACCTGGGGTGGTAGTAATAGCCCCATGGATTTGTCTTAACCCTTACTCTCTGAGGGTAGTTTACTGCATGTCAGTTGGTTATGCCAATGCCCTCCAGCTGCAGTTTATTGGAGGATACTTTGATGTAGCAGTGAAGGCTCCAATTGGCAGGAGTTGGAGGCCCTGGAGGGTGCCTGATACCATGGAGCTCCATGCTGATACTGACCAGCTGGGGGCACTCACTTTGTTATCAGAGGACTCTCATTGTTCTCTGTGGCATGTATTGGAGTGCCTGTCCAGTTACCCTTGAAATGACATGGCAGATATTGGAGGGCCATGCAAAAACATAGGAGATTTTCTTGAGGCACATATTGGCATGCGTTGGAGGGTCTAGTAGGGTAAGGGTTAATTACTGGACTTCCTCCATACTACAGAGGTACATGAAGCACAATTGGAAAAAATGTTGGGACTCCCACGCTTCGGAGATAATAAAATTGCATTTTATTTTCCTTTTATGTTTATCAAATAATATTTTTGTTGATACAGATTTTTGTACTTTTTCTTGGTGATCTATGGCTTTAGCCTAGATAATTTCTTAAAGGGAAATTAAGTCCGAGAACCATTTTGTTGATTATCTGTTTCCGAGAACAAAAGATTTTTTTTATTCATGCATGTCAAATATTGTCAAGTCAGAGAACCAGATAGTCGACTGCCATTTATCCACTTGAGGCCTATTGGTAATGTTTAAATAGCAAGATTTGTATCATGTACATGTATCAGGGTAAAGTACCAGTATTTAAATTTGTCAAAACTGAATATATTGAAGCTTGGCAACAAAGACATTATTTTCTGATATTACGTGTACAAGCCACATACAGTCGACTCTCGTTAGTACAAACTCTGTTAATACAAAATTCTGGTTATAACAAACATAAAGCCTTGGTCCCAACTGTGCATTTATGTGCTAAATGAATGGGACTGATGTTCCTCTTAATACAAAATTCTGATAAAACAAACAATTTGGCTAGGTCCGAACGAGTTTGTTATAACCAGACTCGACTGTATATGTAATCAGTGTAAAAGTACAGCGTGATAATTTTTGTTTGAACAATTTCTGTTTTCGAATTTCCCTTGAGTTATTTTGTTTTTTCCTTTTTGGTTTCTACAGTATGGCCCGGCCAATGTGCGAGATCTTGAACCAGGCAAGAAGATGAAGTGGTGCACGTGTGGATTGAGTAAGACGCAACCGTGGTGTGATGGTGCGATTCACATTTCATTACATTAATGTTCCATTTTTTGTTTTTACTTTGCAAGTCCCACAAAAAATCACCTCTTCTGTTATTCCCAAAGAGTGAACATTCACACTATTTTGAGTGAAAAGTAGCTCCATCTGCCTGATGCAATAAAGGATAAAACCATTTAGAGTGAAACTCGGTCATTAAAAAACAATTCAAGTTTTTCTTGAATGATTGTTTTTTCAGACCTTTTCTTTGTAAAATTCAATTGATTGTCGATCTCAATCTTGTTGTCTCTATCTAATTTCACTCTTTGGGAACAAAAGAGTTTAAACTCTGTGTAACCGATGTCAGATCTGTGAGAGTCATACGTAAACACTTCGTATTTCCATTTTAGGTGTAATTACATGTATTATGCCCTTGGTTGTGTTGACATCTTTTGATTGGTCTATTGACCTAACTAGGGTAGCCTATCATGACCCTTGATAAGAAGAAATCCATGGATACACATGTATACAGGACTTCATGGATTTTACATTTCACAATATTATGATGATTTTAACAAAATGAGGCCGTGTTCTCCACGTTATGTTGCCCAACACATGACATTAGGGTGCAGTGTAGGGTGCACTGTTTCATGGTACATTCTTGTATTTCATGTGCAATCTTGCATGCTTACGTCCCTTAACCCACGGACCATGATCCATGCTTAACCTACATAACCTAACCACAAAATGGTGCTTTAAAGCTTTTATACTGTATATTTTCCGATTTTCTGAGTTAATGTATGTAATAGCGGAAAATTACAGCATAATCTTAAAATTGGCATTTCTTGGTTTCTCAGAAAAATTGTTTTTCTGGGGAGATTATTCGATGGCCCTTAATGTAAATAAAAAAGTGTGCCGGGTTGAACGTATAAACACTGCCTTATTGGGTACCAGAACAATGGGAGGTACCCCAAAAGGAATGCCCACCGACTTGCGGGGTACCATTTTGGTACCCCTCAAGTTTTTCACGAAATAGATACATGTATATGGATTTTACTCAAAAACTATGGGTTGGTCCGTCGCAGATAGAACATTTTAAGAAAAGGGATATTAAGTCCGAATTTCAGCCCAGGAAATTAATTCTGGTTATAATAAGAGCATTTTGAAATTAGTGTGACAATTGCACAATTTTAGTACACGAGAACAAAGGAAGTACCCAACTTCTAGGCTGTGTGTGTGTGTGTGTGGAGGGAGGGGGGGGGGGTATATATCCTCCCCATCAGTATCCCTCCCACCCCCCTTCACGTCCTTGCTCACATCAAAAAATATTGCTGAACATGTACAAGAATTACTAACCCCTCCCATGGCCCCCTTCCAACCCCCTCTTCCCACCCCTCCCCCCCCCCCCCCCCCAATCCACCAAACCAAGCTCTCCACTGACCCCCTCCCAAACATCCACAAAATATTTCTAACCCAGTAAGAAAATTACTAACCCCTCCTCTGGTCCCCCTCCCCTCACATCCACAAAATATTGCTGAAAATGTACAACTGTTAACCAACCCCTCCCTTGTCCCCCTTCTGCTAACATCCAGAAAATATTGCTAACCATGTACAAAAACTACATGTACTCACCCCTCCCCTGGTCCCCCACTTCCCATCACTTCCACAAACTATTGCTGACCATGTACAATAATTAACAACCCCCCTCCTCTCACATCCACTAAATATTGCTGACTGTGTTCACGAATCTCGAACTCCTCCACTGGCCCCTTCCCTCACATCCACAAAATATTGCTGAACAGCTGCAACACCAAATCTGTTGACGTCTTGCATATTTAGTTTTGCCGATAAGACATTTTCTTGTAGATTACCGGTAAGTAAGATTAAGGCTGTTATTAGTATACTTTTCAAATCATTACTCCGTGGTTGGGTGCACCTCTTCTCCCAGGAACACGTGGGCCTAAATGTTCCCTGCTTTGTTTTTGCAGGAGCACACAAAGGAACAGGCTTTAAATCTCTCAAGTGGATTGTTCCAGAGAAACCTCAGAGTGTATACTCCATCTGCATGTGCAAGCACACCAAGAATCCGCCGTTCTGTGATGCTACCCACACTAACCTCCCCGCAGCAGTGGAACAGACTCAGGCCTCTTGCCCTGGGTCGAGCAACCACCACATGAGAGCTTGCCCAAAACTTTGCACCAAGTGTGGCTGGGTGCCAGACTTTTGACAATGGGCTAATTACATGTAGGGCCACCAATCTTTTAGGAACTTTGACTTTAAACTTGAACATCCTGAACGTTCCAAAGGTTTCTGTTTAAAGAACAAAAATTAATAAAACAGCACAAATTGAAATACGGGTTTGTGCAAGTAAAGATCTCTGAAGTTGACTTTGAGAAAATCATTTCAAAATGTACACATATTTATAACAAGCTGATTTACCCGATCATAGATCGGGTATATAGGGCGTAGTGTTGGGGATGAAAATGTGGTCAGTTAAATGTAAATGGGGGATCATTGAGGAGACATGCACTTATAGAATAGCAATTTTTGTGGTGTGATCTGAGCCAATTTCTGACCACTGAAACCAATTTGAGCAAAAGATCATTTTTTAAACATCATTTTCGAGCTTGGGGTAATTGAATCAGCTACACGGTATTCTGAGCAATAGAATCATTATAGTGGGCTACAATTTTTATTCGGGGAAGAAAAAGTGGGGGGGGGGGACCAAACAATGTCCCCGCTTTAAAATGGGGGGGGGGGGGGGGGGGGGGGGGGGGAGGGGTCCCCCTGTTCCCCACCGATTTACGCACATGATAATTATGTACCCTGATAACTGTCTGTAAATGTTCCCGTTGGTCTGTTAAATGGGCATTTTGTGAGGCAGCCTGAGTCGCATTGCCGGAAGAACGTAGTGAAAAGGTTACCGTAGTACACAGGCGAAGGCTGATTGTACAGTTTTGACACTAAATCATAATGTAATCAAACGTGAAGTTGTCATTTGCAATGAAAATGTTGAGTGTTACCATAAAATTACAAATGGTGTGAGTGATGGAGGAAGGTCATAATTAAGTTTCAGTATTGGACTCTTCAACAAACGTAAACATGAACTTCTTACAATTTGCGAGACCGTCTGCGAGGAAAAAGTCGATTCAACTTTTATTCAAGTTGGTCAACCATCTATATAAGAGCAAGTTTTACTCGGCCTCCGAGAAATGTTCGCTCCTGAAAGGGTTCCGAGACCGCGGTCTCCCGCGACGCCAAAATGGCTCCACGTCCATAGAAAAATACGGAGAATTTCTTCCGCCAAATCAAGCACTTCAGGTCGTCCTAATTTTTCCGTACGGACCGGCGATCCGTTTTGTCGATTTTTTTTGTGACTGCGTTCCAGATCGCAATATTTGAAGCAATGCATCGACCCTTCGTTGATCCCAAACAGGCCCCCGAAATTATAACCGACACTGACTATGACGTGGCGGCCCGGGCAGCGAACTCACAACGCTCAGCGCAGCCTTGGTGGAAGCATAGAGCTAGTGGAAGCATGGAGCTGTAAACACATTATGGAAGCAACAGCACTCTATCACGCGACGTCACATGCTTGTGCTTCAAATAGCGAGCACCGTAGACTCAACCTCGTTTCCAGGGTGTGGAGCAGGGCTGCAGTACGCGTTGCCAGTGACGGTTTTACGCATAGCCGGGAAGTACCACGCAGTGTAGACTTTCGATTGGTCAGACCGCGCTAGGCATACTAATGTGTAGTTCTTCTGAGTATTCGTTGCACTCGGCGCAGGGGCGGCAAGCGAATCATATGAAAGAATAGGGACACTTGGTGGCCACGCACCATGGACAAAAAATATTTTACCAAGGTCACCCCATACTAACGTTTGGTGAACACTTTTGCAGAACAGCCGAGTAGAACACGTAAACGAAACCCCTACGTTGACCTCCACAGTCTAGACACGCAGAAAAGCCAGCACGGGGGGCGGCCAGGCAGTCAACGTGAAATAAAGCGCACACGACGGCAAATTCCTGCGCAAAACGCAGTCACGAAAAATCGACTAAACGGATCGCCGGTCCGTACGGGAAAATCAGGACGACCCGAAGCGTCCGACCCGGCGGAAGACACCCTCCGCATTTTTCCAAGGACGTGGAGCGATTTTGGCGCCGCGGGAGCCCGCGGTCTCGGATCCTTTCATGAGCAAACATCGTCTCGGAGGCCGAGTTAAACTCTCTCTTATATATATAGATAACTAGTGCAGGGCCAGTCGAAAATGTGCGTGTTCGGAAGGGGCAGTTAAGAACTGCAGCTCGTGCAAACAACGAACATTATTCAATGGTGTGAACGCACACTCGCAAGTTAAACTCACAAAATTTCGTCACCCCCCCCCCCCGGCACATACAGTGCAGTGATGGTTGCACAGTTGAGTACAAAATGCATGTGCCCGTGCATGCCACTCACGTATATGTACGTACGAAGACATGGTGTGCAGTGCTATCGCCCTACAATGTGCCCGTCATTTTTGCAGGGCCCGTCAAAAAAATGCACCTGTTCGTTAGGGGCAATTTCAAAATGTTCATATCATGCAAACAACGCACACGATTCAATTGTGTTGTTTTCACAGGTTAAACTCACACTCATAGGTTGAGCGCACTTTGTACATGTCGCCAGGCCATCCCCGGCACTGATATTCACCCATACGCCCGTGCAGCCACTCACCTACGTGAGTAAGGTTGCTCAATCCACCGCCTCCAATAGTGGTTCAATCGACTGCAAAATGCATGTGCCCGTGCAGTCATCACATACGGAAACATATGGTACGCAGTGCTATTCACCCATACTGGACAATGGTATTGCCCTACATGCATGTACAATGCACGTGCGCGTGCCCGTCCTTTTTTCCATTGTTGGTCATATTGAGCAGGCGCGCTTTAGCTCCAACAGGACGTAAACAATTGAAAAGAACGGCAGTGCGTGGTGTTCTAGGCTATATTCTGGCGCGCAAGGCCTCAGAAAATACTGCTTTTTTTGCAGCTTTTTCGAGAACCGCTCGTCCAAAACAACTTCAAACTTGACACTGCACATTCTGTGGTCCCGAGCAATACACCCGCCAATTTTCAACTCCATACGGTGCCCAGTGCTGGAGATAATCGGCGGACAGACAGACAGACAGACAAACGGACAGACGGACAGACAGAGATTCCTTGAATTGTAGTATAGATAGACTAAGAATTTCACAATGTTTGGTACACTAGTATAACCAAGATGTTCTGATTATGAGGTGAAGTTTCATTTATTTACACCGATTTTGTAGAAATTGTTAACATCACTGTAATGCAAAAAAACAAAAAAAACAGTTATCCAAATTGAGAGGCTCTCTCATAAGAGACCTTTTGGTTTGTTTTATTTCGCCCTATTTGATGTGTAAGAACTTCAGGAATGAGTTGTTTTGGTGATGGTGTCATGTAATGATTACATGTACATTTTGCTCAGTGAGTCACTTCTGGAAAATAAATTCATGAAATCTGCCCAATTTAAAGTCCGAAGAACATATAGTAACATTACTTTTGCGTATAAGCGTACTACATTACATGCACTAGAAGTCATAAATGTAAGAAAATATAAGTATTATTAATATGTTACTTAATATGCATTACAATACATACGTAGTATTTCTCCCATCAAACATGTTTCGGCAACGACTATTAGCCCTAAATATGGTGAATATTAAGATTTTTACATGACGTTTTTTGATATAATCATAACATATTTTGTGAATAATCATACTTATAATTATATCATATGAAAACAAATATATGAAGGCAAAACGTTACAAGAATGCAATTTCATATTAATTGTATAAAAGTCTTATGAGAATTTAGAAGACAAATAACACATTGTGCTCTGATTAATAAAGTACACGAAACAAAACGTCCCGGCATTCATTCTCCATCAAACCACACGTCTGCTATTTAAATGATATTTTTTTTTTTGGGGGGGGTCCTTTGATAAAAACATTTTGGTTTTCATTACAAATTGTGTTTCTGTAATACAAATGTAGTTACAGTCCACATTCTTATGGAAAACAAATCCGGCCTCAATGTCTCAATAAGTAACGACTTGTATAACCACAGAAGCGCGTTGTCACGTAATAATTGCTTTGTTCCCAAAAGTGTTCCTTCCTAAATAGGACATGTCCACATCTTTAAATTGCTTCACATCACTAAAACAAGTCTTTTACAAGTAAAGCATAATGAATTTTAACTTTAACTATTGTGTTAAAATGGTATTAAATCAATTCATTTCTATATGTTTTGGGGTCTTGAGTTTTGGATGGTTACAAACATTTTTAATTCGGATCCTATCATCCTGTGCCAATATAACTGCAGTGAATGTAACTTCAGGATGATTTTTTTTTAGTATTGATAAAGTTGGCAAGAAACTGAAATGGCTTTTCGTTTTGATGGTGCATTGTCCTTTTCATTTCACAACGTGCCTTCATGATAAAATTGTCAAGCGCTCGAATTTGTTGCATTGCATATAAATGGGCGAATATACAATTATCTGCAAGTTTCGGGCAATAATCCAACAAAGCCATTAGCGATTTAAAGAGTCGCAGGAGTGCCCTCATCATGAAAAGGTAGTCGTCGTTGTCTACAGTGGCTCTTGGGCAGTAACATTGGCTTGTTTCATCAAAAGTGCCTTCAATTGTTTTGGACAATTTTCCTGATTTTAAGGGTGATGTCTGTACTAGTTGCATTGGAAAATTCAAAATAGGAAAAATCATACAGCAACCAGCAGCGGTATTCTTTGATGGACAATGACTCGCCAAAAAATGAGCCGATAATTTGACATTTTTATGGATATTGTAGATACACGTGTTATGTCTAAAGACTTTAGGGGGAAATGGTGATGTCATCTTGTGGTGACCGCAGCAAAACTAAAAGATGACATTATGTCACTTAATGTTAGCTAACCAGTGTTCCTCCCAAGTTTGAGGAAATCGGCAGAAGCATTTGGTGCTGATCCCCTGTAATTTGGGATCAGCACCAAAGTGGATGCTGATGATGCTCAGCCTGCAGGATACCGAGCCCTAAGCATTCTGATAAATATAAAAGAGGCACACGCCTCTGGTATTGAAGAGATTAAAGTAAAAAAAAAAAAAGCCAAAACTTGAACGGCAAATGAATGCAACCAAGAAATAAATAGTTGCATGTGTTATAAACGCCATATGCATGTGTTATTTTGACACCCCGTTTGCCAAACCATATAGGCCTACTGTAAATCGTCCAAGATTGGCAACGGTTTATTAAAAAAAAATGATGGAGATTGAAAAGTTGCAAATTAAAAATGAAACAAAACGTAATTTTTTGTAGATAAATCGATA